CCCGTTGATACCGCTGCACGCAGATTGCATGGCTCCTGGGGATTTCATGCTTGTGTCTTTCGACATAGTCGGCAATCTCCTCCGGACTATGCTGGTCTAGATATCTTATGGGACATCGTGAAACGGGACAACGGGTATTCGAAGACCGGGTCGAGGGCGCGCGACTTGAACGTCTATCATTTTGCTCGGCTTTGATCGGGTCAAGGTCGGCATGTCCACACGTATCCTCGTTGTTATCCTGGGAGGCCAGCTCGACTCCGTTGGACCCTCCATTCTCAGAGGGCTTATTGTTAGGCTTCGCAAACGGGCAACGCAAACTCCCCTGCGTGCCCTTGGTAGTGAAGTCTCTTTCTAGGGTGCGAGGAAGCCCCGCTCTCGTGGCAACGAGACATGAGTTAAGGTCAAGCGGCTGCTTAGCATCGTTGGGAGGTATGATAGATAGATAGGATGTCAATCCCTCCCTAATGGAGGCAAGAGCCACATCTCCTACATTGCCGGACTCGGCAAGCGAATTTACTACGTCCGACAGGCTGGCTTGTTGTTTGGGCTGGTACTGATATTCGGCAAAGCGACCAGCAATCTTCTCGGCGACGATTTTGGTATGACCGTCAGGACCGCCAGGGAATTTGTCTGCTAACTTGGAGTACTGACGAGAAAAATTAGCATGTGAATCCCCAAGCAAGGTAAATGGACACAAAGCAAAATAAGTAAATAGTGCAAGTCTCATCAGATAATACATGATATATCCGTCACCGCCGCAGATGCGACTCCTGATCTAGAGCTAATCGATTTTTCTCGTCCTTTGAGACAGAAGGGATGCAAGGCAGATGTGGAGAGGGCGGTGGGGGAATTTACCTCGACAGAGGCATATTTCAGCCTTTGCTGTACTGTCCTCTCCTTGCAGATGAGTTGTTGGGTGGTCAGTAAAAGAGCTTCAAAGGCTCTGGCCAGAGCTTGCAGCTGGAGATCCAGCTGCGGCTGAGGTTCAATGGGTGCAGGTGACATTTCATGCATCAAGTCTGAAAATTACACAGCAGACAGTACATCTGATAATCTAGCCAAGCACTTCTGCCGTGAGCAGAAGTGCGGAGAGGGATCATCGAGGGAGTGAATTTTGGAGGGGGTGGGAAAATGCAGAGGGGGTCCCTCGAGCTGCTTTAAATGAACGGAAGCTAAGCGAGTTGGTCAGTGCGCATGTCACATGATGACTGGTCAGGCAACGTCTTCCATGACATGCCAGCCTAACTTTAACTGGTTTTCTCCTTAGGTCTTGAGTCAGTAATTTAAGCATGCTCAGCATAGCAGCCCGGCTAGCTCAATCGGCAGAGCGTGAGACTCTTAATCTCAAGGTTGCGGGTTCAACCCCCGCGTTGGGCTTAATCTTTTTTCTTCTCTTTTTCTTCATTCTTACGTCTCTGCGTGGTTTCACATCTCATTTCCTTTGTTCAAAAAGCCTTCTAGACCTCTTCCAACCTGTCTCAAGCACACCATCACACATGTACCGATGGGGTAAGTTCAACAACATGGGACTATAGAGGATGAGACGACAATGACATCCGTGCGCACATGGCGTGGTCGTGCCGCGCATTGGTACTATGCAGACGCAACCGTCATGCTGCCGTCCGTCGAAGTGGCTGCACCCTCTCGATGATAAGGTAGCCAAGAGTTGCAGTCAAGCAACGAGATGCGGATAATGTCACCAGTCATGGCGAGAGTTCATGCCGTCTACCCTCGCCAGCTAACAACAGAAAGCAGGGGTAGTGGTATACATTCTTCATGGGAGATTGCTATCGGCCTAATTGGAATGAATTGCAGGATCTCTGTGAGCCTGGACCAATTCGATACACCACCCGCGGTATACGACGGTTCAATAGATCCAGCATCAGAGCGAGATTCGAGTCCGGTTTTGTTTCGATAAGGATTGCGAGTATCTATATCGCATGGTGTACCGGTGGTTGATTTTGAGCCGACCAATGATTGATTAAGTCAACGTATATGCCTAAATAGCCCATTTATGCACATCGGGGTGATCAGCATCTTTGGGGGTATTTATATAATCCCACCCACCAAGCCAGGCAGTGCTGCTGCATGTTCGCTGCATTGTGGATACGAAGGGAGGAATTTGGTATCAGAGCAAGACAATGTCAGAGGGTTTAACGATCCTGAGACCAGTCAGATTGCAGGGCTACGGTGGCTTGCGTTTGATTTCCTGCACTATGCAGATGGTCTAGATATTTGCTCCGCATTTGTAGATTTCCAAGCACTGGTCAGTATAGATCATGCAGTTCCGCTAGTATTGTAGACCAAGCACGACAAGAAATGAGGGTGCTTCCCCAGCAGCGATTTTTCCAGGCAATTTGAGGGATGATAGCCTAGTATGCAGGGAAACAGGCTAAACGACCAGTGCACAGCTAGGCAACGTTGCGCTTCAGCTGCAGGTCCGACAGCCACTTGGAGTAATCGACCGGGGGTGGCGGTAATTTACCCAAAGTAGTAGCAGGATTTCAGGTCTTTCGAGCTTCCAGTAGTGAATATGCATGGCCTTGATTGAGTTGCCAGCCTGCCACATCATCTGGATTCTGGATCCCCGGCCAAGTCGGGTTAGACGGCGAAGTCGGAGGAAAGGCGGCGGTGTAGATGGAAACCGGTCCTCTGATTGCCTTTGTCGAGCTTCATTGGGGTCCATTGCGATCCATTGCGATCATCCAACATCCACACGTGTTGCTCCGATTGGCGAGAGCCTGGTATAACCTCAACTTAGTCTGTTTCCTTTTCTCTCTGGTGCAGTTGTTGCAAGGCCGCAGCTATGATTGTCGGAACAAAGAAATTGTGGTGTACATATAAAGTAACCGGGGTAAATTCTTGTTAGCAGTCCATGAAAGATGTAAAAAGATCCGAGTGCAGCACAGCATCACTAATAAGCGGAGGAGGTGACGATGATGTTGATGATCCATCAGAAACGCTTCTTGGTATCCATTGCAGCCGCCCCATCAACCGGGGTGGTTGCCAGCGCCATGATGATTGTGACCATGGTGATGTGTTACACCGGCCATCATCTATACAGTACAATAATGACCATCACCTGTCAGAACATCTCTAGCCAAATGATAGGATAGAAGAGGTGGGGGAAACAATCGACCCCGGAGCATGCAGTACTGGTATGAGTAAAAGGGCCTGTTCTAATTCGGGTAAGGTCAAGCTCCTGCGATCCTAATTCAAATTGGAACACTTTACAGTACGTATATACATGTCTCTACAGAATGAAAATACATGAAGTACATGCAACAGCCTTTCTTGCTATGGCGCCATCGGCCGGAGGGGCAAAAGAACCCGCACCAAACAAATGCACTGGAGCAAGATCATGCAAGAAATCGGCTTGATCGCTGGCAGGAGAGGTATGCGCTATTCTCTCTGTCCCTCACAATAGGTTGTTGCATCAGTACGGAGTACACAGTCGAAGACTGGAAGGTTAGTTTGGTTTCCCAGTTAGAGATGTTCCTGGCTGAGGAGGGAAGAGGGGGAGGATAAATAAATGGATAAGGAATAATACAAGATACAGACTGTTACATCAATCATATAACCATGTCTGTATACATTAAGGACTGCTGTAGGGGGTATAGTGTAGATTGATACCAGGTCATTACGTCTTCTACTCAATAAATTACACTTATGATTTTTTTTATTTTTTTTTCCGATTAAATTTCCCCCTCCTTCGTCCTTATCACATCAAAATTTCTCTATTTTTACCTTTTTTTGATCTTCCCATCACCCCTCACTAAAAGCCATTACTTACGGAACACTCCCTTTCTAACATAACCCCTCTTCCTTGTTCTTCCCTCCTTATCTTTCTAGTCTCATTCTTCTTCTTCGTCTTCCTTCTCCCCCTCCCTTTTCTCTCCTCTTCTTCCTCCTTCTCCTTCACCATGTCTCAATCAATTTCCACCCAGGATCCTCATGCCACCACCGCCGCCCAAGTCGCCGGACAGTCCGCCCCCAATGCCACCCGCGCCACCGAACTCGCCGATCTTAAAGTAAGCTTGCGCGGTGCTCTGCGTCAGTTCCCTAACTTCCCGCTGCCCGGAATTCTCTTCGAAGACATCCTCCCGATCTTTGCCAACCCCACCACCCACGAGGCTCTCGTGCGCTGCCTCGAGCTCCACATTCTCGAGAGCACCGGCAACCAGAAGCCCGATGTCATCGTTGGCTTGGAAGCCCGTGGCTTCTTGTTCGGCCCCAGCCTGGCTCTGAGAATGGGCGCTGGCTTCGTCCCCGTCCGCAAGCAGGGCAAGCTCCCCGGTCCCTGCGAGACCCAGGGCTACCAGAAGGAGTACGGCGAGGATTTCTTCCAGATGCAGTCTGACGCCATCAAGCCTGGCCAGAAGGTCGTCGTGGTGGATGACATTATTGCTACCGGTATGGATGTTCTCTCCTCAAGGGTCTGACAATCAGAGCGAACAAACGCTAACGTGAACCCAGGTGGTTCGGCATATGCCGCTGGAGAACTGATCAAGAAGATGGGCGGTGATCTCATGGCTTTCGTTTTCATCCTCGAACTCGAGTTCCTCAAGGGCCGGGAGAAGCTTTCCGCCCCCGTCCACACCCTTCTCACTGGCCAGGAAGAGAAGGTCCTCTGATTCAATCCCACCAAAACAGCCAAATGCATTATATTGCCTCTCTGCTTGATTCCTTGGACAAAAATTTGCATAGTCAGAAAAAAGAGTTCATTCCGTCGAAAATGACCCGCCTGGACGGATTGCGGAGAGGCCGGTAAAGCTGGTATGATGCGTGTTTCGTCATGCAATCAGTTGATGGCCGATATGGCTTCGCTGCATCGTCTATCTCTTGGCCGACTACCCTTTCCCCGACCGAGGATCTAAACCACGTCGGAGAGACGTTGAGACCTTAGAAGTTGCTCGCCGTTGGGAATGACCCGGAATCTTGGATTGGTGTCTCTCGGCATTGTGAAGTGAAATTACTCAATAGTGATCATGTGTGGCTCTTAGGCATCGGACAAGGCTGCGCATCCTTTCTATACGCATAGACTATGAATTTCCTATATCGTTGATAATATTTGGAGTGAATCGATATCCATTGTAAGGGTCGATCGACAGCCAACCCATGTCTTGGGCAAATGGTCACTTTAACTCCATCAGTCCCAACGAACCATCCAAGTGTCCAAACAGCCTGAATCACCTGGCGTGATATGTCTTGTGAACCCTCTTAGTTCAGAGGGATAGACGGCCTCATAACCTCTTCCGCCCACTTCTCCGGAAGCCCCAGAGCGACCGACTCCCGAATGGCGCGGTTCATTCGTGGGATGTACTCCTCCTTGGGCGGGCCCAACTTGACCCTCAACTCATCCACATACACCAACACTGGTACAGTGCTGCTGCTGCTGCCGCTGCCGCTGCCACCGCCGCTACCACCATCCTGACTCTTACTGTCCAACCACTGCACCACCTCCGCCTCCACCACCCACTTATTGTAGTCTCCCTGCCCCTGCTCCCGTGGCCGAACACTCAGCGACGGCGAGGGCGCCACCGCAGCCGGCGCATCCCAATCCACCCCCTCGAACCCATCCAACAACCTCTCATCCCCCTCGTCCATCGCATACAGCACCCCGTAGACCGCATCCTCCGCCCCAGCAACGGGCACTTCATCGTCCTGCACCCCGGTCTGCGGTCCGACGCGCATCTCCGGAGGCGGGAGAACGTTCGCATAGCCCGGCTGGCAGATGAGCCAGCGCCAGTGCGGCAGACGCGCGATGGCGAGGGGCACGGAGGACGCGGGGCTGTGCACGCAGCGAGTGGCCATCTGGGAGGGGGAGAGGTTCGAGCCGTAGGCGAAGTAGAGCGGTCGTTGGTGTCGTCGTCGCTCCGATCGCGGACGGGATTGTTGCGGCAGGGTCGTCGAATCGGTCGGGCTGATGTTGCTGATGTTGATGTTGATGTTGATCGGTGTGGAGGCAGGGTCCGTGGGGAGACTCGGGGGGTCGTGGAGATGCATTTCTTTTGGTCTACTTTGTTTTTCTGTGGGTGTGATGTGAGGGATATAAGATGGTGTCTTTGAGTTCTGTTGAAACCTGTTCTGTACAATGGACGAGAAGGTGGTGGTGGTGGTGGTGGTGGTGGTGAGAAATGGAATGTAAGGTATGTACTGTGGGTAGTGTACTGTATAGTATTTAGAATTGAATATATATATGCAAAATCTGAATGCACTGTAAACTGCACTGCTATGGGCTGTGTGAATGAATGAATGTATGTATAATTTTAAGGTTGAACGAGAAGTGGAAATGGAAATGGAAATGGAAAAAGAAGCCTAGGCTCCCTCGGACGAGGGACAGGGACCGCGGTAGATGATTGTTACCTGACTCCGGAAGGGGCCGGACTCGGACGGAGGGAGGGGCTTTGGCAGAGAAGCCATACTCCCTAGAGTTGTGGTTGGTTGCTTCGTGTCAGGTTCGGCCCGATTGCAGGAGGCGACTGTCGATTAATTTCGTCTTGAGAAAAATGAACTCCTTGCAGTCGCCATCTCAGTATAAACACTGATACTGATGATATGATATATATGTATTGATGTATTGATGTACTGTACGTACTGGGCGTATACATCGCATTGCATGTCAGGTACATCACATATACCCTGTACGGGTCTCTTTGTACTGCGTGTCTGTTAATACTAAGTACTCGTATGTATGATGCATGCAGGTATGTACAGTACATATGACAGCAGAAATTCTAACTCTTCCATGATGATATCTCAAATCGGTAACCCATACGTTCTACACAATGTGTAGGTTATGAATCGGGACTCCCTGAGATCGCACCGAATAGCGTCGCTTGATGCCCACTCCGATCGCCTGTCGAAGCAATGCATAGGTCTCCTCGCCGCCACCCACCATCACCATACTGAGAAGATGGCGTCGCGGAAGGCCGCCTGCGGTCAACTGGCTCTCATCGAGATGCGGGCGAACAAGATGTCGCTCGGCGCGTACAGCGGCCAGCCCGGGCGAGGCCGGCCCCGAGTCCGCCGTCTCCCACAATTCCTCCTCTTCGCTAGTCTGAGAGACCACTATTACAAGTTCCAGGGCCTGACGTGACGGCGGATACGCAGGAATATTGCGCAATTTCTCGGAGAAGCTGCATCCGCCGCGCCGAAGCACCAGAACTTGGTGATTCTGGACAATCTCCCGCGATAGACGGTGATCGCAGAGCTCGTCCGCGAAGTAGATGCTGGACCAGGTGAGGCGCCGTTTGGACAGGTTACCCGTCATCGATACTGTCGAAGCATCGTCCACATCCGGCAATGGGGCCGACCCGAGGCCAGTTGAGATGGCCGCGGGAATCATCAAACGCAATGTCGACGATTTCTGCGGCGGCAGACCCGTCTCAACATGCGCTTCGTCCCGGAGTAGGGTGGACAATGAACTCATCAAGGAGGACAGTACAGTTTTCATGCCAGAGATCGATGGATCGACACCGCCACTGTTGCCATTCACCAAAGCCGAGTCGTGGATGATTGGACCTCGAGCCTGTTGTGGTGCAGCGGGTTCAAGGCCATCATCTGAGTCATTTCGTCGACGAAGAAGCTCTGGCAATACATCAATGACGATGTCAATCATGATGGAGTCGCGTACACGCGTGAAGTTCGGGTCAGTGGGGTCAAGCACATCAAATGTGATTTCCCGCGAAAGATATACCTTCTCATCCTTACCCAGCGGCACATTGTTAATTACTTGCACCCGAAATTCGTCATTGTCCGAGCTCTTCGCCATGCCAGGAACGGAGACATCTCGAACCATGCTCAGCCGCAGACCCCCAATGGCTTTCACGAGAATTCCATCCCGGACCCGTTCCAGTGATCCGGGGCCTACAACCATTCCGGGAAGCGCAGGGAAAGAGATATCGAGGGTTGGGCGAGAGATCAAGGGTGCACTGGTTCCGTTGAAGGGTATCAACTCCGGTGGCAACGTCCAAGGGTAGAACGTATAATTTGTGGGTGATGAGAGGTCTGATACCGATATACTCGGATGGTCCTCAGCATATTCAACCAGAGGCCCCTCAGGAACGTCTCTGCTGGGCATGAGGTGTAGGCGAGCCAAGTTCGCGGCATGGAAAACATCAGGACGTGCTGCCGTGGACGAACCCACCAACGTAGGGGGAAGAGGAGCCAATTGGCAAACGGGTTCCTTGCTGTTCACACGCCCCGGTGTCTGTCGGCGTGTATGGAGTGCCGTGCTGCTCTTGGGTATCAGGAGTGGATGGCCCTCTGTAGAAAACACAAACGGTTGGTCCAGCTTGTTCAACGGGTGCTCGAAATCGAAAAGGAGAAACATGTACTTTGCGGTTTCTCCTAGAAAAAAGCTCTCCATTCGATCATTCAACTCGCCATTACGGACATCCTGGATACCAGCCCAGCCGCACTTGGTCCAGCATCGGCGCTTGAGATCACTCAGGACCATCTCACCTACATGCAGATACCATGGATCTTTGGTTGCCCGGTACAGGTAGTAGGTAGATTCCACGAATTCCGGACGGCCACCGTACCATGCCAGACCCTGCTCTATGTTTCCCGTGGCGACATTCCATCTTTCAGGCAGGCCAGAGAAACGGTTCCAGATGGCAGTGGTTAGAAGATGGATTCCAACTGCCTCATCTACTTCCCCGGCCAGCGCCAACAGCCCTGGGTAAAAGGCGCTGAGACTGTCTATCCAAAAAGCACGGGTCGCTCCTGTAAAGATGTCGCCTTGGATAAGGTGGGGGTGTTGATGTCCATCCCCCCGATATAAGTGCCTCTTAATGGACGAATGAGACTCCTGCCATACTTCCAAAAAGGCCTGCGCAGAGTGTTCGTGCTCACCCAAGGGCAGGAAGTAGTCATCCAAATGATGCCATGGACTGCTTGTATTGTGGGAGGGTCGCTCTCCCGAGGAGAGCAAAACGTACGACTTGAATGCGTACTCAAAGAAGCTATCAATCCCCGCACCAATCTATCATTAATATGGTAAGCAAAGCACGGTTTGTCGTCTAGCCAGCGGAAAGTGCTCACCCCGGTATACGAGTGTACCCATCGGCCCGATTCGGCATCAATACCAGACCCAATTAAGCCAATCTCACTTCTACGCGTCCAAACGGCCCAAAAAGCCCTCTTCGCAAGCTCTTCGTAGCGACCATCGCCTGTGAGCCTGCTTAGAACGGTAAATTCCAAGACAAGGCTGCCGGCGCCAGCGCTGCACGTCTCCGTAGTTTCTGGGAATGAAGACCAGCGGCCTTTCTGGCAGCGTTCGGAGTTTGACCCATTGCACGGGTGATCCGCATTGAGCGGCGAGTTCGCGTAGAAGGGTTGCCGTTGGACTCCATGTCGCAGGTTGACCCGCGGGTAAGGAAGACCGGTGTCTGTATAGAACGCAGGCAGTAGACGGTTCCCCAGATCGACCGCGAGCCGCAAGAGTTGACCATCGTAAACAAACCCGGAAGTCCACATGATACCGTGCCCTTCGCTTTGGAAAGAGGACTTATCCCAGGCTTTTGCGAAGGCGGCTTCTCTATCTGGAGGATTGTACCCAACGATGGGAAGGTCACCTACAGCAAACAGATGAGCGCTGAGAAGTCCGCCTACCGTAATCAATGTCAGTCAGGGAGGCGTCTCTTCATCGGTTCTCGTATGGATGCTATTGGTGCATACCTAGCCCTCGGATGACCGTCTCAAACACCTGAACTTTGCTATCCATGTCAAATCCTCGGCTCCGTTCGCCCTGACCTGCAGGGCTATCTGAACCATCTCCATAAAGCGTGACAAAATCCTCCACTCCCTTTTGAAAATAACCCAGAGCCTTTTGGCCATCCTCTGGACTCGATGCAAGGATGGCTAAGGATGATAGACTGTCGATTAGAGTCAGGGAATAGTTCCCAAGAACATCATTGAGCTCAGCGTGAGCGGGATTATCTCGGTCGCGGACCAACGGGCGACAAGTCAAGGGGCGAAGCTCATCTTCGGGAAATGCATGTTGAATGTAATTATCAAAGCCGTGATAGAACATATGCTCGGTCTCCTTCCTGGTCATAGACACCGCGAAGTGCGGTTAGTGGAATTACTGAAACACGGTCATCGCTTTGCAAGGCCTCACCTGAGCTCCCTAACTCGATCGACCCTCATTCCCTGGGCCATAGCAAGCCATGACGACAATAGCAAGACCCAGGTTATCACCCATTCTGAACGGAGTTTGGACATTTGAAAGCGCCAACATCCCTAGCGCATTACCGCAATGGCGAGTCGGATATCACTAGCATGTGAGCACGGAACTGGCTTAAAGCCACGAAAGGATATGCGAAACAATGTCCTTCTGGCCCAGCGAGCTTTGTCTCTAATAAAGAGAAGAAATGCTTTTTTTTCTGAGGAAATGGAAGAAAGGAGGGGGAGGAATGTTGCGGTGGTGGGCAGCAGCCTCGCCGCGGGAGAAGCACGTGAGATCGCATCAACCTCCGCGGGATTTGGCGCAACCACGCAGCCGAGCGAGCGGCCAGATATGCCTTTACAATTGATTATACCCGTTCTTTACCCCTGTCTTTGCTAATATCGGAGACAGACCAATAGCGAACTACAGAGATGAATTTCTGGGCTTACTCCTGATTCTCTAAAAAACTTCAATGTCCAGGACCTAAATTCAATATATGATGGCGCTTATTCAATGCTGCTGCTGATATGCCACTATAACTCCCGCTTGAACCCAGACAACCAAAAGATCGATAAGACAAGACAAAGTTGACAAAATATGAAGTGATGCATATGTTGGGGTATATGTCGGATAAACGGAAAGAATATGGCCACGGAAGCCTGAATTCCTGCAGGGCAGGATTTCTATCCAAGACAGCCCGCACCAAGCGGGCGTAGAGCAGAACAAGAGGGAGTAAAGAACATCAATGCCAGCGGGCTGATTCCTCCGGGGCATGCCATTGCGTGAAGGATCGTGGCTGTGCTTCGACAACGTAGTCGATTCCATTATCGGAGACATAACTAGGCGGCCGGGGTGGTTGAGACTTGTTGCTGGGACCGCGTTCGTCGACCTTTGGTAACGAGGAATTTTTATCCACACGTTGCCAATACAACAAGTCAGGGTTCAGGCGCTATGAGAAGATCAGCTGGTGCAAACAAGTAGGACCATACCCATCTGTAAACTTACCACGCTGCCTCTCCAAAGACCATACGCTGGAGGAGGTGCAGTTATCTTTTCCCGAGCAGCGTCACGGCTTGCAGTCATAGCATCCTCATCCGCCGCCAGAACGACGTGGATGGGATGTGCCGGTTGTGCATAACCAGA